ACGAAAGCTTGTTTGTTTGTTTTGTAATTAAGCACAAAGCTACACAATGGGCTATCTGTGCTCTGCCCACCACGGGAAACGAAACCCGGATTCTAGCGTTGTAAGTCCGCAGACGTACCGCTGTGCCACTGGGGGGCATGATACGAAAGCAAACAAATAAGCGGTTAATTTCCATGAACTCGTTTTTAATGTAATTAAAATAAACTCGAGCAGTTTTGTTTGATTTTATTATTAGATATAGATATGAATATACTCAGGTTTCTTATGACCCCAAGTTTGTCTGGGTATAGGAATGTCATAGAAATGATCAAAGAGCTGTGGAACCTTTTAGACTACGAATTACCAATATTACACTTCTGGCACTTGGACTGAGCTAGGAACTTTGAACACAGCGACTGTATGAACAGGTAATGTTTTAATTTGCAAAATGTTATAACAAGTTTCGAATATACAGCATTGGAAATAATTAAGGAAACTATAAACAGAATAAAATGGAAATATTATGAGATCGCTTTTCCTCTACTGTATGAAAGTGATCTGTACTAGAGTACAGTCACGTGTTGATAGTTTACGCTGTGATTGGCTGTCTGTGCCTATGTAGTCTGATAAATACATTCGTGGTTAATAGGACAGAAACGCCAAATGACAAATGTGTAGTAATCAGAGATTTGGCTTGTGAAGGCTCTCCATTCGACAGATTCAGGCGAAATTTCATGTTTGAGTAGGAATCCTATGAAAATTTTGAAGAGGGTACGTGAAACTAGTACTTTTGGTAACAAAGTGGCTGAGGTAGAAAACCCAAACTTTTCAAACCTATTATAAGTAACTCAGATTATGCTTTTTATGTGATACATGACAATCCCATAGAGATCTTGCTAATGACGTAGTTGTAAGTACAGGCGTGAATGTTACTTCTAGAACACTAATATATACATTAGTACCAGTTTACGTCAATGGATGTGTAGTTACTCAAAAATTGCGACTCAGGAGGAATAACCAACCGAAACACTGAAATGGGAATCAGACTTCAAATAATAGGATCAGCAAATATATAAGAGGTGTTCTTTACAG